TTTCCGGCGGCAGCCGTGAGGCTCTGGAAGGGCTTTTTCCTTCCCCGGGCTGAGCCCAGAACGCCTGCAGGTTGCAATTTAGAAAAGCTGGTCCTAGGCAGCCCTCTCGGAGTGGGTTTTTTTTTTTTTTTTCCCCCACCCATTTCTCTTTGCTAGATGTAGTTCTCTCGCTCTATTTCGAGGCCTCGCAGATCCCCCTTTCCCCCACGCACAGGCTGAAACAGCCTATTTATACGAGCAGCACTCTGTGCTCCGACCAGCCGTACGGGGCTTTCGGGGACGCAAGTTAAATGTTGCAACCGGGCTGAACCTGCGAGCAGAACGGACCCCAGTTCTCTGTAAATAGTCGCGAAAAGGCAAACGAGACAATTTGAATACAGTTTCCTATTTATAGCAATTCTTCTGGTTCGAGTACCCCCCCCCCCCCCCAGTACCGGGGCACGGCCAGGTTAATAAACCAGTATTACTCCAGCTGACACTTAAGCAAGAGCCACTTAGCTTTACGTTAACAACTATTTGAACTTGAATGCCTCGTGTATTTTCTAGTGTTTTGTACCGATCTCATGTGTGGTAGCTGATGTGCAGTACAGGTAGGCTTTATGATTTTTTTTTAATTGCTTTTGAAGGAGTTCACTCGCTTTATCCGGTATGTCAGGTCTGCTCTACAGCACCCGTGGAAAGGCTTGGTGGGCTCTTGTAGATGTTTCATAGAGCACAGCTTGTTTCAACTGAATTTGTGATTTTTTTTTTTTTTTTTGCAGTTTCACATGTGGTTTCTACTTTTTTTTGTATAAGACAGCACCGGAGCGTAACAAACTTGCAGCCTCTGTTACAGTACCACTTTAGCCATTTTTGTATTTGTCATTACTACACCCCAATAAATCTCATTTAAATTATTCTCAGCTCTTAGTGTGTTTCTGGCCCAAGCCAAGTCTTCTAACCCCAGACTTCTTTCCAAGTTGCTCCTTGCTTTGTGTTATCCCCTCTGCTACAGGAAGGAGCAATGAATTTTGCTAGTGGGGTTAGCAGTGACTCAACTGTGGCTCCAACTAGGGCATGAGAGCAGTGCTTTAAGTTCAAAACAAACATTTTTGTTCACAGAAAAGCAGTATCAGGCTCCCAGCAGACATGCAGCTGCATGCTTTTCTCCCAGGTGTTATCTATGCACCCATCTCCTCCAGGAAGAAGCCAAGATACACTTCAGCGCACCAGAGTAATGCTGCACACAAGTTTTTTCAGGCTTCTGGAGGCATTGCCCCCAGGTAAGGTTAACTTTAAGTGGATAATCATAGCTTGCAGCACTGGTATGGTGGAGGAAGGTAAGTTTACACTCAGTGTTATCATTTTCTTCTTGCACAGCTATGGCAGCTGTTAGGGAACAAAGGGAAAAATTTTAGAGGCTGAACAAAATGTCCAGCCATTAAACTCAAAGGCTTCTTACTTCCAAGGTGAGTGAACAGCATGTAGCATTTGTGCCTTGCTGAAGTCAAGGGAAAAGCCAGACTGGCCCCTGTGCCAAGGGAGCTAATAGTGCTAATGCCAAAGTAACCCATTAGCTGGGGGCAGCTCTCCTTTTCTGAGGGCAGCACCAACTCCAACAGCAGTCTAGCTTGCTTGGAAATAATTCTAGGACACAAGTAAGGGTTTTTTTCCCCCCCCCTCCTCATACTTTATTCAGTGTTAGTGAATTATCCAGGCTAAGTACTTGCATGCTTTACAATCTAGTCCAGGAAAACTTCATGTGTTCAGTGTGGTCACCAACTGCCCCCTCTTGTTCTTTGGTTTGGGGGGGAGGGAAAGGAGGGGGTTTAAAAGTCACCATCCAACTAGCAAATACCAGCTTAGCTGCATACTAGAAGAACATGTTACACCTGATCTGCCAGTGCTCAGGGACCTGGACAGGCTGAGAAGGGGCATATGGCTTGTTTCAAGTAACTTGTTCTACAAAACAGCTTAACTCAAACTAAACAGCTGAGTTGAGTAAAAGAGTTCAGAGCAAGTCAAATGCGAGCAGTCAGCCTAGACTGGGCATTTGTGAGAACAGAACCATGAAGGCCAGTTTGGCACTGTGGAGCAGTACTCTGCCTCACATAGGATTGCTAGCACCATGTTAAGCTCCTGCAGGAGCTGCACACCCAGAATCCAGACTGCTCCCTAGTGCCTGCGAGAGAGGTGCAGGCTACAGGTTTGACTTCTTAGAGAAGAGCTAGCTTAAACAAAGCAGCTTTGCTGGAAGTCATTACACACCGCATGAGTAGGCCAGGAGTTTAGATGCTCATGCCTTAGTACAACTAATGCACGTACACTTCAGTTTCAAATAAATATCTATGACCTCAGAATAGTAAATTCACTTCCAGACAATAAATAAATATTGCATTTTCTATCGGCCTGCTTGGGAGTCAAACTGGAATGTTGTTTTCAGTGCTAAAGCGAGTCCCACATTAAACAGTTAGTGTTTTCAGCTCTTTGGGCTGCAACAGCTTCTTGGCAGCTATGATGGTGTTCTTCATCAGCATGGCAACTGTCATGGGCCCAACTCCCCCAGGGACTGGAGTGATGTAGCTGGCTTTCTTCTTCACCCCTGCAGGAAGGAGAGTTGGAGCTTAGCAGGTACATCAGGAGCAGTAACAGTCACCAAGCTGGCACATGAAGCTGCAACCATGAAGCTGAAGTCTTTGGCTTGCAGTCTTCAAGTCAGACTTGAGAAACCAATGCTCTTTTGCCCTGTTACCCAGGAGAGGGCACACTATACTCTGACCATCCCTGCTGCTGACCAAGCTTAACTTCAGAGGCCAAGTCAGGGGAAAAGCCAGGTCTGATAGTTCTAGACCAGCAGTCTACAGCCAGAGAGCAGATGTGCACCTCCTGCATGCTCCTGGCAGGGTCTACAAAGAAGCACTAACAGGCTGAACATTTGTAGTCTCTTCCACAAGCAGGTGTTGGTGTCTTTTGCCAGGTACCTAGAGATGCAGGGCACATCACAACAGCCTGTCTGGGCACTGCTGCAGCTAAGTGAGGAGCAAAGCCAAGGAATAGCAAGCCAGAAGGTAAGTCCTGCATGTTTTCATGAGGTGGAAGCTAGAGGCAGGAGTCCAAGTATGAAATAAAGTAGCTAAAGTGACCCAACTGCCCAAGTTCAGGATGCACTCTGTGCAACAGCACACGCACCAAGCACTGCAACTTCAGCAGTGGTCTGCATCTGCTCCATCACACAACCCAGGACTTTCTCCCCTGCTCCTCAGCACCCTAAGTGTTTAAACACTCAAACTGCCAGATGCCAGAGCCTTTTATACCTTCAAAATCCACATCTCCAACCAGTTTGTGTTTGGCAGTGACAGGATCCTGCACTCTAGTTATGCCCACATCAATAACTGCAGCTCCTTCTTTGATCATGTCAGCTGTAATCAGATTGGGTATGCCTGCATTAAAAAAAAGACAGAATTGCATGCTTATACTGGTACTAAACAACTCCCTGCTCCCCCTCATCCCATTTCTACATTGTCCAGATAATGTAGGTTGACCCATCTAGGCCTCCCTGCCTCACAAGGGCAAGTCTCAGTTCACCACAACCCAGTTGGTGGAGGCATTGGCTTCACCTAAGGGCGATAAAACCCCCAGCATGGCAGGGAGGTGGGTAGGGAACAGCAGCTGAGGGCTCAGCCACCCTTTCAGGGTGGGGTATGTTTGTCTGGTTTTACCAGATACTGCCTCAGCTGACTGCAAGCTGAGGAATTCAAATTCCTACACTCCATTCAGCTGGTTAACTCTTTAGGGCAAGTCCTGCTCTGGTTTGATAACCATCTTTGGCAATTTACTCAGCTTCTGCTACCTTTCTTCATCTGCCAGCAGCGTGGCTGTTGTCCTTACATGCAGTGCCACCTTCAACACCACTACCACTTCTGATCCTTTCAGGATCTTGTTTCTAACCTGCATTTCTCTCCTCCCTCCCCACAGGCTTACACCAAGCTTCTGCTGGCAGGCACAGAACCTGAATTGGCAAAACACTTCTGCAGATGAGCTATCCCCATGCCTAGGGCAGAGCCTGGAGAAGAGTAAACCTGCGTGAGCAATTCCTCAGGCTCTGAAGATGCTAGAGCAACTGTCCTTCAGCATTTCACTGTCTCTAGGTAAGCAGACCCTGTTTTGTGTATGTTTGTGGGAAATACAAACTGTCTGAATGTTTAACAGAGCCTGTCTGTAGCTGGTCTTTGGATCTCATCAGGTGCTTGGGAGCATACCAAGTCATTCTGCCAGGTGTTAATTTCAAAGACAGACCTGCAAACAGCTCTGCTGGTAAGATCAAGCATGTGGCTACGCTTATCAGTCTAACCTGGCAGGCTCAAATAGCCCCTCACCCACCTTCCCAGCCATTGCCTACAGCATCTGCAAACAGCCATGGTAGAGCCAGGCTCTCCCACACTACCAAAGCTGCTTCAGATGGAGAGGCCCCCAGGACATCCGATACCAACTGGATTGTCTCCTCAGAGCAGATTCCCCATCATAAACACCACATGTAAGCATCAATGCAGTGTCTTCTGTGCACCTTGCCTACTCCAGAGTTTGGTCTTACCTGCTGCTGCTACCACAATATCAGCCCGAATTGTGTGTTGCTTCAGCTGCTCCTTGGGAGTGTAGCGGTGAGATATTGTTACTGTGGCATCACCTGCAAGAGCAGTTACATAGAATGTTTTACCCATGGGTACTACCTGAACCCAGCCATTTCTAACTCTTCACCCTCAAGACCAGCCTGGTCCATCTCAGGATGATCAGATCTTGATGACTAACCACAAGGAGCAGCCTACTGAGAGGCCAAGGACTACTGAAGATGGCCCTGAAGTGTTACAAGACTGCATAAGGGCAGAATTTTCAACTCAGCTGTGGAGGTCACAAGCGCTTGAGGCCACAAGCGGCCATAACCCACAGGATACACCAGTCCAGAATGCAGTCCCAGGACTGGTTTAGGAGCCCAGCAAGGACCATGTGAGAAGCACAGAGGGCTTCCTTCTGCAGCCATCTGGGGTGCAGGCACTGAGGCTGCCAAGCTCCTACCTCCTGGGCGCTCGTGCCTGCCATCTGTATGCAGCAACATGGCAATGGGCATTCCCACATTCTTCGACCTGCCAGCCACCACCACGTTCTTCCCCAGCGTCGGGATGCCTACAGCACACAAGACCGAGTCTAAGACAAAGACGCTACTGTTATGCTAGACAGCAGCCAAATATTGCAGCAACTTACCAGTCCTCTTGATGATCTCCCACACCCCCCACGGGGTAGCTGGCAGCATGGAGTACTGGTCAAGGCACATACGCCCCACATTTATCACGTGAAAGCCATCAACATCTTTGTCTGGGGTCACAGCATTGCAAACCTTTCGCTCATCAATATGTTCTGAAAAAATAATCCAAAAGCTTTAACCCTAGGGATCAGCCAGAACCAGCTCTTTCCAGGCAGCCAAAGTCTGACCTGCTGCACCAGTCCCTTTGCCCCTCTGGGCTTTGGAAGCTTGAAGCTACTGGAAACTTCCAGCAAGTTCAGAGCTAACAGCTCCCCCCAGAAGGGGACTGGAACCACACCGGAACTGCAGCGTCTCTAATGCAGAAAGGATATTTTTAGACAGCCTCGGTGTCACAACTTCAAGCTTCTGGCTCAGAAAGATGATACTGCCCATACAAGAATAGACTTCTGCAAGGCCAGCAGCATAGGCAGCTGTATGGTGGAGCTGCTGTATCAATTTCTTTGAGCTGCAGCATAGCAGATTGCCAGCTATCCTGTGACATGAGAACTCCTGTGCTTCACCTCATTCTGGCACCTACAGACCCTTCAAGACTTCTATAAGAAAAACAGGAAAAAGATAGAAGTCTAGCTACTCACCAGGCAGAGGAAGCTGCACTAACAGGCCATCCACATTGGCATCATTATTTAGTTTGCTAATCAAATCCAGTAGCTCCTCTTCAGTAATAGAAGCTGGCCTGAGGATTGTTTCACTGCTGATTCCTGTGCAATCATTCAAAGTGCTGTATTAGAGAGCTGTATGCGCACAAGCAGGAACCTTATTCCTCAACCCAGTCCAATCGGACTCTCAGCCGTGCATCATTGCTGTACCAAATCCAATATGAGAATACATACACTCCTTGGTGTTACAAGCAAGACTTGTGACAGCCTCCAGTCTGGAAGGCCTTGAAAGTTAGGGATAAGGACCATTAGTTAGTCTGTGTGCAGCCACCCTCAGGAAAGACTGCCTGAAAGTCAAAGCCCTCCCAAGTGCATGGAGCCCTTTGAGAAACCTATGGGGAATGTGGTAGGATGAAGATGCAGCTGCATTTCCCGTGGACCCTCCTGACAGAGTGACAAGGGGATGTTAGCCTAAAAACTCAGCTCCAGAGAAGGCTTTAGCAGCACAGTACCCTATGAGGGGTTAGGCCATTTAGCACCCCAACCCCCCTCAGCACATCTTTCCTAGAAGCATACTTAGGACACCTCAGGCAGCCTAAGGAACAGGATCTTGGCTTGCAAGACTGGAAGGAGTCACAACAAAGTAGCAGGAGTGCACTGGATGTCAACTGCATTTTGATTTTTGCCTTCTTTCAACTGCTCAAAGTTCCCTGCAGGCTGTCCTGTGTGGACCCGAGAGGCCTGCCAATTCACAATACATAGCTTGATGTTGCATTTTCACATTAACTACACCCCAGTATTACTATGAAAGCAGCCAAAAAGTAACAGCAACTGCTGGGGTAAACCCCAGACTGGTGAAAAGCTGCCAGATAGCCGCATCCTGAAAGCTTCCCCCCAGCATAGAGGGCTCCCAACTAAAGCAAGATATTAAACAGTCACTTGCTCCATTTTTGGAGAACAGCAGAGTACAAGACCTACCTACGTCAGCAGCTGCTTTGGTTTTGTTCAGTACATAGGAGTGGCTTGCAGGATTTTCACCAACAAGAACAACACTGAGGTGAGGTCTCTTGTTTCCAGCCGCTACCCACTGTTCCACCTCATGACGGGCTTCCTGTCTGATCTGCCGGGCCAGCTTCCTTCCAGAAATTACAACTGCATCATTGCTGCAATAAACAGAGTGTTAATGAAGCAGTCAGCACTGTTAGGAGCATCAAATTCTAGCTTTGGGCAACAACCACCCAGGAAACAGGTGCCCACCACAAGGCATTACAGAAACAGCCCTTTCACTTCAGCCACACACACAGGTCTGCTGCAACTGTAGTGCAAGACATGATTTGCAGAAAACACCAGGTAAGCAGCACATTTCAATCTTCTAGTTTACAGCTTTGCTGCCTGAAACCTTGATACCGGACAACAGTAAAACTGTTGCAAGGACCAACTCATTGTGCAACCTCAGAAAGCCCGCAGACTACTCTTCTCTGGAAGGGCAAGAGTCCAGACTCTTGTCCAGCACATCAAGTCAGATACTACTAGTTTCCTTTTTTAGAAGGTCAGTCATCCGTCCCTTTCAAAGGCACGACAGCTTCACTACAAAGGACTTGCGTAAAGCAGAACTCATTCCACCAAGTGGAGTTTCCACTAGAGAGGTCTATTGAGTAACTAGCTTGTTTGACACAGCACAGGAGGTGCTGCACACTGTACTTCTGCACACAGCGCTGTTGCCAGAGATCCCCATCTCCCACAAATCCCTTGACAAGGATCTCAGCCCACCTAGCACAGCACGTACCTTGCACACACCAGTCTTGTGCCCTCCCTTTTTAAAGGGGGGCTTCCACCGTTGCAGTAGTCTTTTCGGACAGGTAAAGCCATACTGAGGATACTTGGTTTTACCCCCTGCAAGGCTTTAAGACGCCAACTTTCTGCCAGAGTAGGGAGGACACATTTGCCTGCTGTTTGAACCACACAGGAACAGCTCCTTGCAAACATTTCTAGGCTAAATTGGTAACAGGAATATATATGGTTCTTGCCAAGTACATTCCAGGCAACTGGATACCCTGCAGTACATAAAGGCTTGCTCAAAATACAGCTGAGGACACGGCTGCCAGGCCTCACTGCCAGCTGGCTATATACTAACTGTTTGCTTTCCTTTTTCTTCAGGTTCTCACTTCAATCTGAAAGTCATGCTCATTCACTAGTTCCTCTGTGACGGGATTCACCTTCCCAAGTGTCACTTCTGGACTCAGCTACAGCATTTGAGCCTTGCTTTCATGCAAGGCCTCGCTACAAGCTCCTTGCTCACTTGCTGGATGATTTTCACTGGCCAAGACAGGACCCTCAGTTAGTCCCCTCACTCGAAGCAGGCAAAGATGCTCCACGCAGCATCACGCGAGGGACACTTTCGGCACCTTCCTGAATCACAAGAACCAGCCAGTTTCTGAAGCAGTCGCCCCGCAAAGCGCTTCACAGCTACACAAGCCTCAGAAGCTACTCAACTCGCAGAAGGTACCAACCCAGGTGAGAAAGCCTTATTGCCAAAATGCTTTGTCGGAGGTGTAGGGGATCTTTTGCTTCTTCTTAATCCCAGAGCTATTCATATAGGTAGCTTTCCCATTACTGAATCATAGCTCATTGCTAAAGGGAATCATCCAAGTCAGATCTAGCTAGCAGTAACCACTGAGAAAAATCCATCTCGGACTAGCTTAGCCTGCTGAGCCTTTTTAAAGCTTGTTTTAGCTTCAGAGCTAAACCTGCACTAAGCAAAAGGAATTACTACAGGCACCTGGCAAGCTACTATCAGCACAAAAGGCAAGTTCAAAAATCAAGCTTTCAGCCCCACTTCCAACACTTACTTTACCAGTCCAAAGACAAATTGAAACAAGAATTTACCAGAATATCCTGGCTGCATAACCCTAGAGGCTAGGGGTGCCAGCCTTGGCCAAGAGGGGAAAGGGAGACACATCAGGCGCCAGCCTGAGGCTCACCAGCTTTGAGGTCTGTCGGGAAGTCCGAGGTTGACAAAGTAAGAACTCAAAGCATGAAACAGCAAAAAAATTCAAAGTGGAAGCAGCCGCTCTCCCAAAGGGGGTTTTTATGGCATTGGGGCAAGCTGTTTTAGCCTCGCGGTGTATTACTGCTCAGGTGATAGCTAAAGAGAAGGAGAAAGTAAATTCGTTTGGGTTTCTTGCACAAAGTCATAGCAGTCAGGGGCACTGAGGGGACACACTAAGAGGGTCCCTCCAGTCCCCTGGCACCACTGAAAACAGGGATCAGTGCTCCTCCTGCCCTGAGGAGGCCCCGAGCCCTCCGCAAGGGGGGCAGCACTGCACGGGGGGCTCCTCCTGGCCCAGAGATAGCGAGGCCTCGGCACTGCCCAGTGCTGCCAGTAAGGTCGGGAGGGCCCCGCTGCCCTGGGGGGCTCCTCTCGGGGAGGG